TGAAACTGAAAAACAATTATTAAGAGCTGGAACGCTGGCCAATGTTGGTTTGAAAGCCTTTATATCACAGAAAACAGAGCACAGGAAACATATCAAACGATCTCAGGAGTACAAGTCAGTCGCCTTATCCCCTAAACCATGTGGACACACAAGACAATCATGTTTTTTTTCATATGTCACTGTCCTTTGTAGAATCCTGACTTTAAAATTCACCTAGAACTGGGCAAGGTAAGACTTGAACCTATGACCTCAGGAGTCCAAGTCAGTGTTCTTATCCTCTGAGCCATGTGGACACACAAGACAATCATGTTTTTTTATATATCACTGTCCTTTGTGGACTCTAGACCTTAAAATTCACCTAGAACTGGGCAAGGTAAGACTCGATCCTATGACCTCAGGAGTCCCAGTTATTGTTCTCATCCTCTGAGCCACTTGGACACACAGGAATTCACCATTTGTTTCCTCATTCATTTTCCTGTCTAGACACTTGACTTTAAAATTCACCTTGTCCCGAATAAGGCTCGAACACACCACCTCAGGAGTCCAAGTCAGTCTCCTTATCCCCTGAGCCATGTGGAGACCCAAGAGAATTGTGTTTTTTTTTTCATATATCACTGTCCTTTGTGGACTCTAGACTTTAAAATTCAACTAGAACTGGGCAAGGTAAGACTCAAACCTACAACCTCAGGAGTCCAAGTCAATGTTCTTATTCTCTGAGCGACGTGGGCACAAAGGAATATACCATTTGCTTCATCTTTCACTTTCCTGTCTACACACTAGACTTTAAAGTTCACATTGTCTCGCACAAGGCTCGAACCCACCACCTCAGGAGTGCCAGTCAGTCTCCTTATCACTTGAGCTATGTGGACACACAAGTCAATCATGTTTTTTTTTTCATATATCACTGTCCTTTGTGGACTCTAGACTTTAATATTCTCCTAGAACTGGACAAGGTAAGACTCGAACCTATGACCTCAGGAGTCCCAGTCAGTGTTCTTATCCTCTGAGCCACTTGGACACAAAGGATTATACTATTTGTTTCCTCATTCACTTTCCTGTCTGGACACTAGACTTCAGAATTCACCTTGTCCCGAATAAGGCTTGAACACACCACCTAAGGAGTCCCAGTCAGTCTCCTTATCCCGTGAGCCATGTGGACACCCAAGAGAATTGTGTTTTTTTTTTCATATGTCACTGTCCTTGAACCTTGAAAATGTTATTGTTTTATAAAAAAATTAAACTTATTTTTAAATTTCAAGCTAGCTACACTTTTTAAATAAGTTTAGAAAAGGACAAGAAAACCCCCTTTAAGTGCTGATGCGAAAAGAAACAACTGCAGGAACATCTACTAAAAACAAGATCAATATGCAATAGGTTAGAAACATGGTTGAGATGGCATTCCATTAAAAACAGGCATGACTCTGCAGTGGAAATCACTGTATGGGCTTTAAATCACTTCCAAAAAACCCACTGTATGTAAACACAGTATCTTAGTGCATCCATAAATGCAGGTTGAGAGTCTGTAAGTCAGTCACTTTAAGTAACCGCAGCCCTTAAGTCACTCATTTTCTTGACGAGAAGCATGACTTCAGCACACGTTAAACAAAATCTCATCGAGTCTTTTACCAGCAACATGATGACTAAACTCAGCGTAATCCTTCTGGCGTTAATGGCCATCCTCTGGTGACTCTTCCTCCCTACAGTTCTCCACCCTGCCTCCACACTCACAACATCAGCTGTGGGATCTAACTGCAGCAGGCGCAAACAAAACAGCCTTGGAGGGGTCCTCCGTGTGTTTGGCCAAGGGCCGTTCCAACTGAGGAGGGGTCCAGACCACCAAGCACCTCCACTTCTTCTCCGTCTGTGGAGCAATTAGGGTGGAGGTGTGTGTGTGTATGTGTGAGTCCGTGGGCTCCAGCTGTCAGGAGGCCTCAGTCTCTTGGTCCTGACATGTCTCTGATACACCCCGCTGTGAGTCTCTCTGTGTCACACACACTCCACGGACCCGGTTGGAGCCCAGGGCGAGCTGTCCGTCATCTCACGCACATGTTCACACACACTCATCTGCTTTCCTCTTTCTGCCTCACACAAACACACTACTACTCTCTCTCTCTCTCTCTCTCTCTCTCTTTCTCTCACTCAAATGTGTGTTCATTTGTGTGCATGTGTGTGTGATGGCAGTAAGCATGGCGGTGGCTGCAGGCCACGGCAAGTCATCCGTGCTTCCCCTTATCGTTTTAATCACCTCGTTAGGCGCAGCTAGTCCCCACACTCGCTGGCCGCTGCCCCTCCCATAAAACCCGGCCCTCCTGACCTGTCGCTGGTGGTGCCATCGGGCGCAGAGGGGCATGATGGGAAGAGAACGAGGAGTAGAGTGGAGAGGGGAAGACCAAAGGGGGGGAGAAAAGTTCAGAACATCCGTTAAATTTGCTCCTAAAATTCTCAGAGTGCCAGGTGTACATTTGGCAGCATCATCAACACATAAATCTCCTGTATGTTATAATAGAACAGTGAAAGTGTGAGTTTCTCTGTAAATGTGTGACATATGAAAGAAAGCTTGTGAAACTGGATCATTCTGAATGAGCAGAATTGAAGAAAGCAAAGATAAGACAGGGTAAAGCCTTGTTCTTCAACCCTCTGGGGGGCGCTCAACCCAGGTTTAGACCACTGCAGGGAGACTCATTATGTTAAAAGTATTAACACTATCGGTATCAACTATCTGTAAGTACATGCATTTCAATGGAGGACCCAAAAGTCCTGGTTTTGTTTTCCAAATATTGTAGCATTTTGGTTCTTCTGTTTAAAGCTACTATAAGGAATTTCTGATGTGTTGCAAACAGCCTGAAATTTTCAGTGATGCTCTCTTATAATCAACACTAGTCAGTTTTTTGTAGTGTAAAGGTCCATACACACCAGGAACAATGCAAATATACGACGCGAAATTACGAAATAATCAGAGGTGAATGTTGATGCGCCTGACTATACACATCAAGCTTGATGCGATTTTGCGACTTTCCGGGGGTAAAAAAAGACGAGGCCCAGGTGGAAGCGAGAAGACTGACACAACAGCAGACTGACTGTTTTTCAGTTCTGATTAGACACTAGTGTTGAGATGTCTGTCTGTCATGATAGCATGTACTGAGTCGGGGCCAGTACCAAATAAGCACATTAAACTATAATCCATAAACATAAGGTAACAACCGAGACCTAATGGTGCTGTGACAGCAACCCCATTGAGTTTGAGACAGTGAAAATACATATGGTATGTTGTATCTGAACAGGTTAGCTTACGAGCTAAAGTTACTTAGCACAGATGAAAGATAAAACAAAGACGTTTAGCAAACTGTTAAAGCACACAAACCATCGTCATGAGAAATCTGATGTTATGACTCTCCACAAGTTGTCCTTCAGGTCGTTATCTTTGTAATATTTGTGTTTTTTTATCAAAAAGCACTCTGTTCTCCGACACGTAAACAATCAGCCGGTCGGCCATGTTGGATATACCGGTGAATCTGACGTCGCAAGAACACGAAATCTGATTGGTCAGAAGTGAACACACAGTATGCAAAACTTTAGAAAAATCGACTGTGATACGAAAAAATAAATGCCGCAATATCGCAGGACGGAAAAACGTCGCTGATGTGAACACTTGTATTGACAGGATACGGGTTAAAAAATATATATTGACGTCCGAATTAACAGAACAAAGACCAGCAATGATAACAGGTATCTTTTTGACCACAAGGGGGCGCCAAAATTAACATTAACCCATAGTTCCGCACAGGAGCTTTAAGTTAAGTAGAGATTAATAATTGTGGCTTATGGGAGCCCTCAAAGACGAATTAAAGGAATAATTACAAAGAATATATTCAATGCTCAGAAAACAATTCATGTATAAAGTGCCAGATAAAGCCAGAAAAGATGTTGACTCAGAAGCATGTAAAAAAATTTCACGCTGAACCAGAACGATCCTTTAACTTTTCAGTCAGAAAAACATAAACACAGCTGTGTGAACTAATTCAGGTGTGTTTGAGAGGAAGAGCTCATCTACAAAAGGCTGCAGTGGACTTCTCTTTAATCGCCAGCTGCACCTTGTTGCATGGAAGTCATCACAGTGAACTATGAGAGGGAAAAAAAGTGTCGAATCCGACATATTCAGGAGTAAATTCCCAACTTCACAATAAAGATTTAAATGTTTTTCAGTGGAAGAAGTGATGAAATTCTTGATTCAACTTGCCAGAAGTGCATTTTATTCATATTAGATGTGTGGAATGATTAATAAATAAATTAAAGTGGTAAATGGAACGTGTTCAGAGGTTATTTTAGAAGACCAAGAAAAATAGAGTAGCTGTCAAATAAAATGTGTTTCCTTTTAGAGAGATAAAAAAATTCCCACTCTTCGTTTTTGAAAAGCCAACATAACATTTACAGATGACCTAGGCCTGAATTAGCCCTGTTTTTACCGTCTTTGGGGCTGGCCTTTTACTGAGCTTTCCCTTGAAAAGAAAAAAAAACACGTTTTTTCTATTTTTATTTGTGTCACATCTGATCCTTTTATCATAATGGATAAAAATAAAGACATTTCAAGATAGACCCTTGACTTTTACGCACATCCAATTCGTTTGAACTTAAATGTCTCTCTCTGTTTTTCCCTGACTCTACCAAACACACCTCTTAATTTTCTCATCATTACACTGATTGCACGTGCACACGCTGACAACGCAGGGCGCGCGTATTTATTTATCTTTGCCATCCTTTATCATGCACACATCTCTGCTTTGCCTTTGCCCACTGTGTCCCACGGGAGGGAGAGCGCTTGAGGGCTGAGGGGCGTGAAGAGAGAGGGAGAAAGAGAGAGAGGGAGGAGGTGTGTGTTTGTGTGTGTGGGGGGGGAAGAGAGAGAGAGAGAGAGAGAGAGAGAGAGAGAGGGAGTGAGAGAGAGAGGGAGGGAGGGGGCGGCGTTAGACAATACCATTCCCCGAATATATTCCATCCCCTCCGTCCCTGAAGTGAGCCTTTATTAGTGGGGATCGTTTGGATCTTATCTCGCATATGACACTCGCTGGAAGAAAGACTGGAGGAGAAGAGAAAGAAGAGGGGGATTAGCAGAGAACTGCCTTCCGATCCGGTGACTCCTCGCACGGGGGGAACCTCGCTTATCTCACCCCCTTTATCTCCATCTTCCACAGGCGCATGGACGAGTAGCCCCGGCTGCACTTTCTCCACTATCTGCACATCACTTCTATTGTCTGTGCATCGCCGGGATCACGCGTGGGGCTGCTTGATCCCTGTCGAATCTTTATTATCACCCTTATTAATCGACTAATCATCTTTAAGACTTCCGACTCTTGTGTATTTTTTTTAATCCAGTGACAGATTTCCTGGCTTGACGTTTGACCCTGCCTGGCCTCTAGGTCGCAAGTTTGCGGCTGAAAAAGTCCAACAAATTTTATAAATAAATATTTTTTTTCGTCGCGTGACACTTACTGTCCATCGTTGTACCACTTGATGCTTATTTTGCTGGTGGAATATGAGTTAATTTGGAGTTGAGGCTCCACTCATGAGCATCTTTTAAGTTTTTTTTCCTCCAACATTTTTTGAGCCTCCAAACTCTCTGTCAAGGTGAGTCTTAAAAAGTAAAAAAAAAAGGTTTAATGCACCCTAAGAATTTGTTGTTTTTTTGTTTGTTTGTTTATATTTCATGCGCCTGTTCATGCACCGTTTGTATGCTTGTTATTGTAAGCAACTCTCCTGTTAGCACTTGTCTTCTCTTTTAAAGTAAGGGTTTCATGTCAGCATTAGAATCGGTTGTTTTGTTGTTTAATTCGCCAACTCATGCGCCATGTTTCGAAACGTGCATTTTAAAATCCACGCATCTCACTTCCTTGTCTTCTAAAAACATAAAAGCTTCCGTGTTTTTGAATCCAGCAGATGTCAACAGAAGAAACGTTCGAACTACTTGTGTTTGTTTTTGTTTCATGCGCCTGGTTATGCACCATCATTTCAAACATGCGTTGAAAAATTTATGTAACCCCCCTCTTTTAAAAACACAAAAACTCAAATTGTTCCCTGTCCAAAAGCAGATGCAACATGAGAAACGCTCGAACTATCTCAGTTTGGTTTTGTTTCATGCGCCTGTTAATGCGCCGTTCGAAATGAACGTATCTCGTTTTTTTTAAGAAAACACAAAATCTCCAATTGTTTCATGGCCAGCAGATGTCAACATTATTTTTTTGCCGTCTTCTGCCTCCATGCTGTCAAGTCAGTCCGGCCTCAGCCAAGCAGATGTGTTTATCACACTGTGACAGATGGCCAATTCTGATTATGTTAATTCACTAAAACGCAGTTCCTCCTCAAAAACTTGAATTTTTTATGTAAATTAATTTCGAATTCAAAGAAAATATTTACAACAAATATAAAAGATCATACTTTAAAACGTTTCTTATACGTGTTTGTTTCTTTTTAAGGCCTTGGGTTTTTAATAAATTAACCACGACACGAGTTTTTTTCGAGGCATTCATTATTTATAGAGTTTAATGTTATTATGCAACGAATATAGATTTGGATTTATGGGGGGCTCCCAAACAAGCACACGCTTTGGGATTTCCTTTACTGTGGCCTCAGGGTGTCTGGGAAATACTTAAAGCCGTTTTATTCAACTCATTTGTCCTTATTCTTTTTCTCATCAGTATTAAAGCAAACATTTGTTCGTTTTTTTTAAAATACATAGGTTACAAACGTGCGTCGCAGGTGCAGCTCACCTTGCAGTCAGAAATTTGCACCCACCAATGTTTTTGTCACTTTCATCCACAGTTTCTTCAAGAAGAGAGATCGTCAACACTAAAGAGACTAAAGATGATGCTGAGTCCGGACCAAGCCGAATCGGACCTCTCCTGGACCCAATCCGACCCGGAGACGCTTCTAAACGGCCTCAAGTCAGCCGGCTGCGTCTCGGACGTTCCTACAGAGGGCGAAGAGCAGGTCAAATGTAAAGCCGACCAGCCCCTGAGCCGGGAGGAGAAGAGGAGGAGGAGGAGGGCTACGGCCAAGTACCGCTCGGCCCACGCCACCAGAGAGAGGATCCGGGTGGAGGCGTTCAACGTGGCCTTCGCGGAGCTGAGGAAATTACTGCCAACGTTGCCCCCGGACAAGAAACTCTCCAAGATAGAGATCCTCAGACTGGCTATATGCTACATCTCCTATCTGAATCACGTGTTGGATGTCTAAAAGTGACCCCCTAGGTGAGACAGACACGGTGGGGTCGGTAAATTGGACTGGATGCTGGGGCGTCAATTAGGTATGGCAAAGTTGGCATTAGGAGTGGTTGGTCGAGGGGATTTTCAAAGTGGACACCCAATATTTTTGTAGCCTTTTATAGCTTTTGGAGAAAATCACCCCCTTTAAATTTTCGGCCAGAAAAAGAAGTGAGATTTTTTTTCTTCATCTGCTCCCAGAACCCTTTGCAAAAAGCCTTAAAGTAAAAAATAGATCAAAATGAATGATGCCAGAAAATTAAATCTGTTTCTGGGCACCTTTTGCATGGTTGAGAAAAAATGGCAATATCGACTCTGATCGGGTGATATCATGATAAGACCTCCCTTAAAGCTTATCTCCGGGAGTTTTGACTGAAATTTTCAACATAAAACTCACAAAACTAACTTGAAATAGTTAAAACAGCTCAATTCACAGCCACACGTTTGTCAATAAGGGATCTTGTTGCCGATCAAATCAGCCCTCTTGCCCCGGAATATCGGATCTTTGCCATACCTTGCAGTTGACAGAGTTCACCCCCAAATTTCGAGTCGACGGTTGTTCATTAAAATGGCAGTGGTGTAAAGTTCGTGCTTTACAAGAAAACTTTCAGTCCAGACCGCTCACTGAACAAAGCAACAAGCGCAGAGTCGTTTGAGCTGATAGATGCAATAATGAGAATAATGCTTATTTTCCTGTATGCAGTGAGGATGGGCTGCAAGGGCCCCGGTGTGCATTCAAGGTTCAAGGAGGAAATTTAGGGGAAACTTCAACATAAATCACTAAAAGCAAACTCCACACACTGTATCAATTTGATGTCTAATAAAAAATAAAAACCTGGGGCATTTTCCAGATGGAAGGATGTAAACGAGATAGCTGCTTTAGATCTAGTTTTAGACGATGTTTTCCGTAAAGGAAGAAAAAAAAAAAGATTCAATGCGTAAGTGCCACTTATGACATATAAAATTGTGACCTTAATCATTTTTTTAAAGTGTATGGAATTATTTATTTAATTGTGTTTATATTTAAGGCTTATTTATTATTTATGTTGCTACCATAGGCTGGCGTCTTTTTGTATAAATGTATATTGTTTGTTGCTTCTATATTTTAGGCTGTGAAGTTGAACCTGGAAAGTGATGGTGTTCTACTCTTAAAAATGGCACTTTCTGTTAATCCATGGCATAATTTATCCCTTTGATGTAAGTTTGATGTATGTCATTTATTATTTTTGTTTTAATGTCATGTCTATTGTCTATCAATAGCAACGATAAGCACTTCAAAATGGGGCTTAATGGCACCATAGATGTTTATTTCCCTGAATTTTTGTGTTAAGAGGTTGCACAAAGTAAACAAATTGGACTGCTTGAAAAAAATGTTAAATATAATTTTCTTTGTCACTGACAATAATGTACCATGTTGAGAATGATTATGGCAAACAATTGAGGAGTTATCATCAAAATTCAGAAGCAAACCTCTTTTTTTTGCTGTGACCAAAAATAGCCTAAAAGCTAACTTTAATTTCGAAAAAATAGCCTGAATTTATCTTCATTGTTTTGGTGTTTTTGTTTTAATAATTGGTTTGTTTATTTATTTGTCTCTGCTTTGTATTGAAAAAAAATCAATAAGTAATTTTATAGTGAAGAAAAAAACATATCCTCTATCCAAAGATTTTTTGTCTCTTCAGGGTTGTGTAGGCTACTTGTTGCTTTATGCAGATCTTTTGTAGTAGAGGTATCGTGTGACAGCTGGTTTCTAATGGACAAACTTTTCATATTTTCCGGTGTTATTTTTAATTAAAACGGAAATACTTGAAAAAAACAACTCTTCTTGTTTTTTTTTAACCATTTTGAAAAGAAAGTCACCACAAAGGTTTTTTCTATTTTCATAAAAACATAAGCTAACACCGCCAAGAATCTCCGTGACTTCCGCTGCTCATTTAGCTAGCTAATTGGACTGATATGACGTCATCGCGGCGACGCGTACATGAGCACGTGCTGGGGGATGTTATAAGTGCTACATGCGAATCGATACACGTGAACTGCTAGAGCTGAGGTGGGTTTCTTAACACACACAACCGTCCTGTGCACACACTTACACACAAACACACACAATGAAGGGTGAATCACTGTAAACCCAAATACACACTCTTTCCATCTCACACACACACACACACACACACACACACACACACACATTGGTCAGCAGCTAAAGGCAGTGGTAGGCTACATGTGTGCTCCTGGCTGAAAGGCTCTCTCCCTCCCCAGAGAGGGGGCAGGTGTTACTCCAGACGAGCCAAGACAACCAAATTACTGGCCGTCTGGCACCTCCCGTGGGAAACCCAGGGAGAGAGGAGGGATGGGAGAGATGGAAATTTATGAGCAAGCGAGCGCTGAGATGTAATATTGCCAAATGGTATGAACAAAAAGATCCAAATATTTATATTAATTTGTGATGTATACGCCTATTCTCATCGATTGCGCTATAAAAAGCGGGCAGTTGAGTCATAGAGCAGGAGATGTGGAGCATGTGTAAATGCTTTTATCCAAGCTTCATTAGATTATGATGAGTGAACCCTTTTTTTTTTTTGCACATGCATGGGTGGCCCCAGTGGGAATCAGACCCCTCACCCTGGAAATGCCACCGTTAAGCTGTTTAAATTGAGTAACAGAATGCATCATGTTAAAAATATCATCATTAGAGAAATAATCGCCCGTCTATCTATCAGTCTGTTTGTGTATTTTCCCTATACAAACCCACCTTCAGGTATCAGCTGCTGTTTCTCTTTTCAAACCTTTCCACCCGAGGACATTGAAGGTAGCATGAAATGTTCTTTCCTCTCAGCTCAAGGGCCTCCTGTGTCTCTTCGTTTTTTATTTGGCATCTGTCAGTCTCCTGCCCTGAGATGCACTCGAGCTAGTAGGGAAAGTTTGTAAGGTGGCAAGGCTGTTTTAACTCATCAGACAAAAGTTCCAGGGATAAACCCTGACTCTCTTTCTCTCTTGGAAGACAACTTTTTCTTCTCAACACTGAAAAGTTCAATTTAAAAGAGTCTGAGTGTTTTTTTTTTTGTTATGTTCTGTGCAGCAGGAACTTGGTGTTTAATGATATCATGATCTTCCCAAAGCAGCTCTAATAAGAAACAGTTCATAATAAACTCCTAAAAGAGTCCTGGGAGCTATTATGATCAGTACTCTTAGTAATATACCACAATGTAGCCTCTCATTTTATCAGCAAGTGATTAGCTTTGCTTAACAGGGTGTTATTACAAGACTTATCTCTCTGTGAGCAACTTGACTTCATCAGTGTCTTGTTCAGGAAGAAAAAAAAACATCAATTTCCTGCAGTTTTACCCAGTAAGCAGCTACCAGTTGAATAAAGTTGACTGTTAAAGCTCTTGTAAGGAGTTTTATGAATGCAATTAAGACTGATGCCTTGTCATGGTATCCAAAACCATCAGCGACAAGATTGATTCCTGTTATTTTTGTAGTTTTTAATGCCTAAAAACAGTGTAAGGGGTTAAGTGTCAGCTGAGCAGCAGAAGAAATAGTCATGTTCAAAATTTCCATGTAAAATATTCCCAGTATTTTTTTATTGAACCTTTATTTAACCAAGTAAGAACCCTTTAAGATTGTGATTTCATTTACAAGAGTGACCTTGCCAAGAGGTCAGCAGCACACATCACAGTAATAAATAATAATAAAGAAGAAGAAAATGACCTCCAGAAACATAATTAAAAACACAGGTACTGTTCCATGGTCTTCCAAAGTCTCTCATGTAAAATTGAACGAAATACTCCCAGCGAAATTAATTCTGACAATTTCAGGTCAGTCTGGACAGTATTCCAGGCTGAAGTGGCAGCGAAACTGAATGCTGAAAAATATACGGCACATTTGCGCTTTCTAACCACTCTTTAACTGTTTTCATTTAGCTTTGTAACTTATGATCTACAGGAAGTGGTGCACTAAAATAGAAAATAAAAAATAAAAGCATATTATGACCATAAAGGAAATAAAGCAACATATACACAGAGCAGAAAATTGTAAAAGCACCGTCCTCTCCGTAAAAGACAAAGGGCCTGATCTACTAAGATCCCAAATAGCGAGCGCTAAATTGCGTGTGCAAACAAAAAAATTGCGCATGCTATTAGTAGCCGTGTTGAGGGTGATCTACTATCATAGTGTGCGCAATTGATAACAGGTGCAAAAGTGGTGCGGACCGCCCTCTTTAAAGGAGGATTTTGCGTGCGCTATCTGCCGTCACCATGGAGAGTTTGGGAGACTAGAGTGTTTGAAGCCATGGAGTTGCACACATCGTATTGGGGAACTGCATAAACGGCAAGGCAAGTTTATTTGTATTGCACAATTCATACACAAGACAACTCAAAGTGCTTTACAGATACAAGAAGATATACTAGAAATCAAAAAGAGGATTAAAACGATTTAAAATCAATAAGACAAACAGATTTTTTCTTTCGACTATTCCGTTTTTGACTTTATTATTTATAAAAATCGTCATTTACTAGAAAACGAAATAAATAAGCTTTTGGACAAGGATCATGGCGTGTGTCATGGCACTTCCGCCTCCTTCTCCCCACAATGACCGTGCGTAATGCTAACAATTTGCACGTACCTTTCAAAGGTGATAAATATAGAAGCAAAACAGCAACCGCAATCAGTTTCCGGGTTTGATAGATCACACTGTGGGTGCTAAATGATTCCATTTGCATCTGCTCCTCCCAGAATTTTGCACGTTCTGATGATCTACATACAATCTGCATATTCATGAAGGCAAACACGCTAAATCGATTGCGCGCGCTGTTTTGCTCATTTGACAGACGCAATCCTCGTTGCACCCGGTTAGTAGATCAGGTTTGCGTACGCTATTAAGTTTGCATGTGTTTTTGCACTCGCAGGCCAAAGACTGCTTTGTCCACAGGGGGCGCCAAATTCACACAAACCAAAAGATCCTCACTGGAGCTTTAAGTTATGAAGTAACCAATCAAATTAGGTTTTATTTTCGCAATTACATCATTGCCGTGGTAATCCTGAGGTGAAAATTGTGATAGTCCTTCTCCTTATGGGACGGCACTTTTTCCAAATACGAAATAAAAGTGTAGATATGTTTCTCTGCTCTTGCAATAACTTAACAAGACAGCAGATATTTTACATCTGACCTGGAGCGTCACACTTTTAGCCGCTAATGTTGCAATTAAACTCTTTCAAACATTTAAAAGTTGGGTTTATTTGCTTCTAATAAGAGCATTTGTCATCCATTATTCAGTCCTGATTGGTCCAATATTACAGACTGCTTCGTCAATGCTTTTCTCAAAAAAAAGAAAGAAAGGAACACCAATATGTTGCATCAACAGATTGCCCTCTTCAGAACACAAAACAAGCGCCGCGATTCTGGCATGGCGCAGAGATAAGACTTCTGCTCAAGCTTATTGAATGGACGAGTCCATCTGTACGTTTGTCGTGAAGCACTGCAAGGCCATTTGTGCTCCTCATCCCAAAAGCTTCAGTCGCATCAGTCCTCTTCAATTTATTCTTTACAAACCCCCAGAAGGGGCAGGGGAGAGGAAAGTGACAGGCGAAGGCCCAGACTGCTGAGGGCGCCGAACAGCCTGGCTGACAGTGTGGACGGTGTACGATTGTGTATGTGTGGGAGAAAGTACCACGTTTCACCACAACCCCCCACCCCATTTGCACTGTGGGCTTATGTAATGGCGGAGGCCGTGGAGTGACCATATGTCAGGAGGTGTGTGCAGACAGCAGGGGATTATGCAGCGGCCATTATCAATGTTTGGGCATCCTTCTCCTCATCATCATTCAGGTATACTCCAAGCCAGGAGGAGCACACACACACTCACTCACACACACACACACACACACACAGGGCTCTACACACACCCATTTAATTCTGAGCGCTCACTCGCTCTGTGTAAATTGGACAGGGAGAAAGAGTATGACAACAAACAGCCATATGTTCTCAGTACGAGGAACAACATTTGGGGCTTTTTGTGCTGCCTCATTTTTTCGCCCTCTCTTTTATTCTCCACGTCGTTGGGTATTATGGAAGTGTTCACGTTCAAGGCGAGAACTCCCCCGTCAATATTGCAGTTCTGTCCCCGCACACACATCCCTGTGAGCGTGTGCGTGTGCAGTGTGAAGGGTGCTCGTGCAGCAGAAGTACAAAGCCTGGTCCATGTGTTGAAATGCAGCCCCCGGGATGGGCCGTATTATCCCTGCCTACTTCACCAGCAGGGTCCCGGGGCTCGAGCTGGCTCGTGGCCCTTTGTCTCCAAACAGATGGAAATGGGCAGAGGAGAGGAGAAGTGGAGAATCAGAGAGAAGAGGAGGAGGAGGAGGAGGAAGAGGAGTGGAGGAGGAGGAGGAGGGAATAGAATGGACAGAGGATGGAGAAGGGGAGGGGATGGGAGGGGAGAGAGAGTCAGTCTGTTCTCATTAAGTGCTGTATTGAAGACGACGTCCCCCCACAATGCGTCAGCAGCCGCGGATGGTCCCCCCTCTCATTCAGACTCACGCTCGGACCATCTGTACCACAGGGCCTGTCAGAAGGTGTGTGTGCATGCATTAGGCCCCGGCACACGGCCCAATCTGGCGAGTTAAAACGGAGATATTCATTGGGTTTCAATTTGGTTAAGATCTCTTAAATCCAATTGTTGGGCCTTTTGTTGAGGACGCCTCATTGCTTGTGAGTCACCGTGAGTCAGAAGGGGAGTTTATTCAACCTCCTGCTGTCCCTTTTTTTGGCATCTCAAAGGGGGAAACACAGCCAAAATGCAGATTTATAATTAG